TTTTTGACTATTAAAAAAAATCAGAATCAGTCTACTTACAATCCAGTATGCTATGCGCTTTAACTCCAAGAAAGCTTGCTTATTCTGAACACCTCCATCATTCTGAGCTAAATTCTGAGCTTTCCATCATTGAGAAATAAATGAAATATTACTAGAAAAGGAAAAAAAAAGTAACACTTTTTTCTTCCCCCTCCTAGAGGTTAGAAACAAAACTTGTATTAAACACATACTGTCAGCCACTTCTACTGTTTCACTTGCTCCTCTCTTTACATGTGGACAGGAAAAAGGAAGACACAATAAATAAGTAAATAACCAAACCCTACATTATAATAATAATAATAATAATAAAACCAATTTATACCACTTCAATGATTTTTTATTTTTTTTTTAATTTGGGCTTAGTTTAGAATAAGATTTCTGCCTCAGTGTCCTCAAACACTCAGAAAGATATCCCCTTCCCCTGCTTTCATTTGGAAGAATTATGTTGTATCCAAAATATAAACATAACTCCTCTTGTGACAACTTTAAGCCTACAATGCGCATCTCTTGACCAAAACACTTGAGCACAACTGACTGAAGAGTGAGAGTGGGGAGCAATTCAGAGCTTGTTTAAAGAACGCAACTGGACACTCTGTCTCACATGGGAAGTGCTCAGCACAGGTCATTTCCACAGGCAATCAAACCCTGACATCAACCAGTGGACTTGTTGGCAGTCTCCTGGGGAGTTCAACAGGGGAAATGATTTAATTGACATGAACAACAACAACTTTTGCACTGCAAATACTAAAGATCAAAAGGCTTTTTCTTTTTATTGGCCATGAGAGGGCTGCTACCAGCCCTTGGAAATACTCATTTCTGTATTTTCAAGCATGTCTGTATCACAAGCCAAAGCTGGGAAGACTACAGCAGTGCAAAAAGATGGCAGTTCCAGGAGAAAGGAGTCCCTGGTGCCTTCCCCAAAGCCACGTGATTGTCCAAGATTAACAAGCTCTGTCCTACACATCTTGCAGAAGATTCTCCTCTTTCCTGGCGCTGTGTTTAGAATAGCAAGCCAGAGTTACCTTGGCAGAATCAGCAAGCAAGACCTCATAGATGTTGTGTAAGTCCCAATACTCCAGTTTATTAGTGAAAAGCCTAGCTGTTTTTAAACTTTCTTATTTTTTGGAGCCCATAGAGGGTCCAGGACTGGTACACACCCTGACACAGTAAGTTTAAACCTACTGGCAACAGACTTGCTTTTATGAAGTCTCTTCCAAAGATTCTTCAGAAATAACCCACTAACACCCAAGCCCCCACAGATGATACACTGAAAACCAGAACTCTACATCTCTCCCAGTGGCACAGCTAAAGCATGAAACTTGACCCTGTTCTTGTGAACCACAGCCAGCAAGGACAGCAGAAACCAGCAGCGTTCCACAGGCCCTCTCTCCTATTAGAACTGCTATGAGCTTGAGTTCAGAACAGGATAAATAAAGCACTACAGACTTCTGTCTTCTGATCTCCCCTATTTTCCCCATATGACTCTTCTAGACTCTTACTAAAGAGAAAAGACGGCAATGCAAAGTGGAAATACTGAATACAGCTACTTGCTTCCCCACGCAAGCTGCTATCACATTTTTCCAACCATCCCAGTCAGTACAACAATGCACAAAGGGAGACAGATATGGACAAAACACCAGTGAAGTTGGTCCAGGAGGACAAGAATTACTAGTAATTAGAATATTCTAAAAATACAGTCATCTGCCTCCCAAACACATTCTGCCCCACTAAAGGAAAGTTTAGAGAATTAGCAAATCTTTACTTAATTCATTTGAAAACAAACTAATTCCTTCTCCTCTCAGCTTATACAGAACAAAACGAAAGATAAGAACAAAATGAAAGCTGTTCAAGCTCACTGTTTTTGCTCTGCCTACATTTTCCTTAAATCACACACTGGTCCAATGCAAGTGTGACTTCCATCCTGATTGCTATTGAAATTTCGTGATGTTACAATGCAGGCAGGCTACTAACAACGGACAACCTGTAAGGAGAAATCTCTGTGCTGAGAAAAGTCATGGAGCAGATCCTCCTGGGAGCTATGCTAAGGCACACGGAATAGAGGGAGGTGATATGCAATAATAGCATGGCTTCACCAAGGGTAGGTCCTATAGCCAACTTATGGCCTTGCGTCAATGAACAGTGGAAGCGCCAGTGATGTCATTCTATGTGGAATGCAGTGAGGCCTCTGACACGATTCCTCATAACACCATTCCCTCCATACTGGAAAGATATGGGCTTGATGGATGGATTGTTCAATGGACAAGGAACTGGTTGCAAGATCATACCTACAAAGTGGTGATAAATGGCTCAGTGTCCAGATGGAGATCAATGACATGGAGACCTGCTGGAGCATGTCCAGAGGAGGGCCACAAAAATCAAGTTATAGATATACCTGTTCATTGCAGGGGTGGGGGTGTACCACACAACCTTTAAGGGTCCCTTCCAACTCACACCATTCTGTGATTCTGTAATGCTCTTTCAAGTGCTGAGGCAAGAAACAAGCATTCCCTGCAGAGTAACATAACTAACAGTGAACAGCGCACTGAAACTTGCAATGCAAATTAAAAAAAGCCAGACAAGATGACCCCCTACACTATGAAGGCTGCAAAATAATTAAACAAGTAAATAAATTTTCCCCTTGGTCAATTCTTTCTTGGTTCTTGTAGCTTTAAAGACAGTTGAAAGATTCATGTACTGCAAACACAGTTTGCAAACTGTTTCTTTCTGTTAGGGGACTTAAATCTTCACACCATAAATTGTGGCTTGGAAGTACTGGAAGGAAAGAGTTGCTTGTTCATTGGATCCGTGGCTTCAGGAGGAAAAAACATTTCATCTTCTTTAATGTCATAAGACTTGACTAGTCAAGCTCTTGTATAAAACCCACATATTTAGAGTTTGGTGGTTAGCACGACCAGGTGTCTACTGCCTATTCCTCCAAGCTCTTCTTTTAGTCCCCCAGAAGGCAACAAGCTTAACTGGTTACAAATATAAGGTTGATAAATGACAAACCTTGCCAGTTGGATAAACCAAGGAGTATAGCACTGTTCTTGCAAAACCTACACTAAGTGGAAAAAGAAAATCTTAAACAGTGTCAACGATATGATCCTCTTTGTCGATCCAAATGCAGCAGTATAGCTGGGAAGTGTAAAATAGCTTTAGAAAATAATGCTCAAATGTCTTAACCATTAAAAATTCATTTTCCAAAGAATACCACCTCCTTCCCCAGTAGTTCCTCACATTTAGGCATATACAATAAGAGCTTTTAAGCACCTGAGGAGCTCCTCCCAATAAATGGTCAAGTCCCAGTGTCTTCCAAACTGGCCACCCGCAGGCCTCAGGATGCTTTCCAGCAGAGACAGCTACAGTTCTTCATGCAGCGGATCCCACTTTTACAGCCTGGATCCCTCAAGACCACAAACTGAGAAGCTGTCTAACAGTGTGCTCCTCGCAAACTATTTGTGCACAGTAGCATTCATCGTTGATGAAGATAAAATTCAAAAAATTGGGATCAACCTTGCTTTGAAAAATAAGTATCTGTATTCGATCCAAATAAAACATCAAGCAATTGTATGGAATACCTACTTACACCTTGGTGGAAAATTTGTCTATTTCCTCTTTAGTGTAGGAATTTCTTCATAACCAACACTAAATTAAGAAAAAGGCAGGCAGTAAAACCCAAGCCAAAATGGCAATACTCTGTTGTGTTTGGGAAGCAACATTCAAAGTGCTTCTTCTCCTGTTCTGACTTGAACCTCCATTCATGTTTTTATCCACTTTGAGCAGAACAGCAGAGGATGGACTGGAAGAGATTCCTGTTCACGTGTCCCTCTGACAAAACAGAGACAACTTGACCTGAGGTGCCCAGGATTTCAGCTACTGGAACTCTGGCAGGACAGGCAGACCTCACTGGTCTCCCTCACATTGCATTTTTTTCCCTAATACCTATCTCATCAACATTTGCTGTGTTGCAACATATGTCTGTTGCCTCTTGTCCCACTGCTGCACTGCCAAGAGGTGCTTGGCTTTGCCATGCCATCAGCTGGTGACTGACTGCTGGGCTCCTTTTCCCTTAAAGAAAAGCAGAGTTCGCACACACAGCTGCGCTCCCAGGACGTTCATAAAACACATGCAGACTAATGGATTTTCAGCTTACACTTCTGAAATACAAGTGCCGCGCTTTACTTTGCAATTTGGTTGCAAAGTAACCTCGTCTCTTACGGACTGCCTTCGCGGACAATCAATACAGAGGAGCTAACGCGGTATAAACTCACACCGCAAACTACCCTAGTAATCCTCCCATCCGGAAAACCCCTCGGTTTTTGTTCTCTGTTTGAACGAGCCCTGCCACTGATAGGTACTGACCTGACCTCGAGGAATCACCCTCTGTATTGACCTGACCTCGAGGAATCACACTGCTTTCCACCACTTCCCCGTCAGGCAGGGAAGTAACCCTCAGCAAGGCAGAAATCGGGCACGTAGCGATACCCCGGTGCCATGTGTCATTCGGTTTCTGTCCGACCGCTCCCGCACACACCTGAGCGCGGCAGCCGCTCGCAGGTCGCTCTACGCCCGGACTTCCCCGTTTGTAACCCCCGGGCACTGCGCGCAGCGCCCGTCCCGGCTCCGCAGCTCGGAACGGAGCTCGCGCGGCTCCCACAGCCGGAGATGCGTACCGCCGGCGGGCAAACAAAGGGGCATCCCCAGCCACAAAGCCGTTCCGGATTTAAGGGAAGAGCCTCAAAGGAGCTCTACCTTACGTTAACTCGGGAGAGAACCCGCTCCCGCCACCCTCCTCTCGAGAGCCGCCTGCGAGCTGCCCCTTCGGACGTGCGGCGATGCGGGGTAGAGCCGCCGCCGCCGGCGCTCCCCGCGCAGCCCCCGGAGCTCCGCCGCGCAGCCGGGCCGGGAGAGGAACGCGGAGAACCGCAACAAGTGGCCGCGCTGCCGCGGGCCGCGCTTACCCAGATAGTGCCGCAGGTCCAGCAGAAAGTGCGGGGGTCCCCCGTTGAGCTGGTAGAAGAGGGAGCCCACGCAGAAGAGCAGCAGGGCGGCCATGCAGAAGCCGTAGTCGCGCAGAGAGAGGAAGGGCAGCAGCGAGAGGGGCCGCCGCCGCTTCCAGCCCCCGCCCTGGCTCGGGCCCCCTGCCGCCGCCACTGCCGCGGGGGGCCGGGGCGCAGGGCAGTCCCCGCCGCCGCCGTGCTGCTGCTTCTTCTTCATGCTACCCCCGCCGCCGGCTCACGCTGCCCGCCGGGCAGGGCGCATCCTCCATCCGCCTGCTCGGCTCCGGCTGCCCGCGGCGGGGAAAGTTCGCGGTGACTCAGGGGGCCCGTCCCGTCCCCATCGCCGGCTTCCCCCGGTCCCGTGCAGGCGAGAGTCCCGGCGCTGCGGCGGCGGCTGCTGCGAAGCGCCGCTAAGGGGAGGGGAAGAAGGTGGTCACCATCCCGCTCCCTGGGGCTCCTCTCCTCCTCCTCCGCCGCCGCTCTCTCGCTCCCTCTCTCCGCTCGGCCTCTCGCTCCGGTGTCAAGTTACAGCCCCCACTTCGCCGCCGACGGCCTGCGGCTCGCGGCCGAGTCGCGCGCACGGCGCGGCCCCCGCAGCTCACCCCGGCCCGGCCCCGCCGTCCTCCCCGGCCCGCCCCGGCCCCCGCTCCCGCCGCGCGGCCGTTGCCTCCTCGCGAGCGACCCCTGCGGGCACCGCCGAGCGCCGCCAGCCTCCACGGGTCACCTGCCCCGGCCCACAACGGGTTCGCACGGGCAGCGAGGCGGATCCCCTCGCATGGAGCTTCGCGGGAGCAGCGGCGGGGCCGGGCGGCCCAGGGGAATGCTCTGCACCCGATGGGGGCTTCGTGCTCGTGTGAGAGGTGAGAGAGCTCGTTCATCGGTTGCCCTTCTCACAGTCCTGTGACAAAACTGATTTCTGCTGGACAGGGGGCTTTAGACAAGTATGGAAAATCACCAAATTCAGATCACTCAGAACCTCAGTCTGACCCCCTCTGCATGTGGCTTGAGATACAGTCTCTAATTGCTTGATGATGCAATTTTCCCCACACAACTGCTTCCTACAAGGCATAGGCTGCGTGGCTTTCATTCAGCCCTGAGTCTCATTCTCTCCAGGCAACATATGTCCCCAGGGTGTCCTGATGGCTGTTGGGGACCCTTCATGTTCCTTGGCACTGCAGCAGAAGTATGCTTTCTCCTGTCTGGAGGATGCTCGACCAGGGCCACAATGGAGAGAAGTGTTGGGGCTGTCAAGCACTTTTTCATTTTTCCCCTTCCCCTTCATAAGATCGCATGGTCTTCTCTTTCATTTTTAGACAGCAGTGTGGTTTGGGAGAAAAATAGGAAACCATGACCCATGCACAACTTGCCAGGTCAGAAACCAAAAAGCAATTGCCCTTTTCCTTTTCAGATTTAAAAAATGGACCATGAATTAGGGAGCCTGACTCATAATATTTCAGCACTTACAGCTGGAAGTTCTATCAGGCAGGCTGCATTCAGGGGGTTTTGCCACTTACATCAAAAGGCAAGTGTTTGCAGATGACGCCAAACTGGGAGGAAGTATCAATCTTCCTGGGGTAGGAAGGCCCTTCAGAGGAATTAGGACAGGCTGGATCACTGGGCTGAGGCCAATGGGATTAGGTTCAACAAGACCAAGTACTGCACTTTGGCCACAACAGTCAGAGGCAATGCAACTGGCCTGGGGCAGAGTGGCTGGAAGGCTGTGTGGAAGAAACAGTTGTGGGGGTGTTGGTTGATGCTCGTCTGAACATGAGCAAGCAGTGTGCCCAGGTGGCCAAGAAGGCTAATGGCATCCTGGTTTGTATCAGAAACAGTGTTGCTAGCAAGAGCAGGGAGGTGGTTGTCCTCCTGTACTCAGTCTGGTGAAGCTGCACCTCAAGAACTGTATTAAGGCCCTTCACTACAAAGAAAGACATTGAGGGTGTGGAGCACATCCAGAGAAGAGAGCAATGAAGCTGTGTAGGGGCTGAAGGACAAGTCTTGTGAGGAGCAGCTGAGGGAGCTGGAATTCTTTAGTCTGGAGAAGAGGAGGCTCAGGCAAGACCTTATTGCCCTCTACAACTCCCTTAAAGGAGGTTGTGGTGAAGTGAGGTTCAGCCTGTGTCTTCTTCCATGTAACTAGTGGTAGAACAAGAGGTGGTAGTTGGTTGGACTAGATGATCTTAGATGTCTTTTCCAACCTTTATGATTCTATGATTCTGTGCAACTACTGGCATTTTACCTGTGTTCCGGGCTTGGGTTTTGTGCTGGCATCTAGCAGTAAGGAGCATCTGCTGAAACAGCAAAATTCTGTGGGCAAGAGCATAGAGACAGAATGTGAAAATGAACATTTAGTGAGCAATCCTATAGACTTTGTTGATAAACAATATTCTCATGCTGTTTGATCAGAATTCCTTAGACAGCTGGGAGAGGAATTTCTGGGATGTAGTCACACAATCTATGACATCACTGTGCTGATCTTTCAAAATCCTACAGAAAACCCACAGCAAAAACAAAGCTAAAAATGACAACTCATTTTTTGAGAAAGAGAAAACAAAAATGATACAATATAAAAAATAATTCCACTTTTGGGCTAGTGCTTAAGCACCACATACAGACATAAAAGATAAATCTTCAGGACTGCAGTTGACTTTAAACAGAAATATCCAGTGATTTTAAGCAGATGAAGCCCTGACTGCGATAATGTTATTAGACTGACACCTTTCAGTCTTCATGAATGCCAGTTTGAAATGTAAAGTGTGCACTACTGCCATGGATGTTTTAACATTATTCTATGCTCTTTTAGATACCTATCAGCTGAATGGCTACAATGACCATACTGTAGTGTCATTTAGTAATACTGCTTGCTGTTGCAAATGAGAAACTGGAGAACACTTACTCTGGAAAATCAGTGTTAAATGTATGGTTTGACAAGACAGACAACATTTGTCAGATGAATCAATAAATCTTTATTTTTCTAATTGCAAAGAATTTCTTTGATCTCTAGGAAGATATTTGGAGAAGAAAAAAAAAAAAAGAGATGGAAAAACAGACCTATCAATGGAAGGAGATATAAATGGAAAGATGGTTCTGCTGAGAGAGCGCTTACTATCGACAGGTAAAAAGTTCTGAGGAAGAAGATACAGAAGTCATTGCTACTGGAATATATATTAAAGGTATAAATGAGCTGCTAAATGAGTTCCTTTCACAAATATTAACTCTCCCACCTATGTTATGCTGTCAATTACAATTCTTAAAATCAAATAGAACAACAGGCAAGAAAATAATTATTATTCACTTTGTATTATAGCTTGATATAATGTAACTGTTCCCCTATTTTTAATTTCCCTGTCACTCATTTACTTCAGCAAAACCCGTATGATTTTGCACACAGAGTCTAAATCAATTTAAACATACAAATATTTTTAACTTGTTACATTGCTTTTTACACACACTAAAAAAAGAAGAAGAAAAAAGAAAAACCTCACAACCCATATTAAAGGAATGACATGGTTGAAAAGCCAAATGTCAATTCTTCAGAAAAATCCAAGGCTAAGATTCTTCAGGCAAACCTGTTTTAACTTGTCAAGGGTACAAGTTACAATTCAGCCTTTAGTTGCATTATTATGTTGTTTTGCTTTGAAGACTGATGCTTTGCATAGTGACTGTGGCAGATACTGTTCGTATGTGCAGCTTTTCAGTTTATTTTTAATCTCTTTGTTTAACATATGTCCTCTGGCTTTGTTTAAAGCTATCCAAATCCTGCTTGTTATACGGAATTACTAATGTCACAGTGGGCTTTTCCACAGCCTTCATAGTTATAGTACTTTGATATTTATGATGAATGTTTATGACTTACTTTCATGAGATGTAGCTAATATCAGCATTTTACTGATTGTGAAAATGAGGCACACAGAGATTAAGGTTAAATGTGTCTATTAATTTGGGTTGCCAGCTTTGAGATGGCTAGGGTTTGCCTTAGTGAAATACTCAGTGTTATGCATTACTTTGTATGTTCAGAGCATAGCTCCCATTGACTTTATATGCAGCTGTGAATGCTAACTACTTCTACAAATCAGACCCCAGGCTCTCAAACCAAACACCAAGCATAAAAAGAGCACTAAGTGGCCACTCTGTTCAGTCAATCTGCTTGACATCATAGGAGTGCTGTGGTGCCAGCAGGCACACAATCAATTATTTTCAGAGCTGTATTCCCTGCAGCAGTCCTCATAATCCTTGCCCATCTTGACCTTGTTCCACTCTTCTTTTTTTCCTCTCCTAGACATGGTTTCATTTCCAAGATTGTTGTCCAAACATGTTTCCTTTCATGAGCTCATCCAGACCAGGTCCAACTTTTTTGCTCAGCTTTTCTCAGGCTGAATCCCCCTCCTATCTGCAGTGGTTCCAGCAAGACATTGCGAGCAAAGATAGTTTTCTAGGCCTGGAAGAGGATGCTCAGTACAGTCAAAGGAATGGAGAGTACTGCTGCCAAAATAATCCAATCAGGTCTACTTCAGTGCTGTGCTAGAGACTGTTGAGCTAACTCATAACCCCAGTTTAGAAATTAACGCAGTGAGCAAGATGAACACATTGAGGTTGTATGTTGACACAACACGGGATCATTGAGTATCCTGAATTTAAAGGGACTCATTAGGGTCATGGAGCCCTGGCTCTACACAGCACCACTTAAAATCAAATCCTATGTCTGAGAGCAGTGTCAAACTGCTCCTTGAACTCCTGCAGCTTGGGGCTGTGCTCACCGCCCTCTGGTGCAGATCCTTTCCCGAACCCCTACCTCACTCTCCCCTGACACAGCTCCATGCCGTTCCCTTGGGCCCTGTCTCTGTCACAGAGAGCAGAGCTGTGTTCCCTCTGAGGAGCTGCAGCTGCCATGAGGGTTCCCCTCAGCTCCTCTACTCTGGGCTGAACCAACCCAGGGGCCTCAGCTGCTCCTCTTAGATCTTGATCTCCAGACCCTTCACCATCTTTGTAGCCCTCCTTTAGATTCTCTCTAAACCATTTTATGTCCTTTTTATATTGTGGTGCCCAAACCCACATCCAGTGCTCAAAGTGAGGCCACACAGTGCAGAGCAGAATGCGGCAGTCTCTTCTCTCTCTTGATGGCAGCATTGGGCCTCACCCACCCCTGGGTACAGTTGGCCCTTTTGGCTACCACGACTCACTGCTTGCTCATGTTCAACTTGCCTTCAGCCAGAACCCCCAGATCCCTTTCTATGGGGCTGCTCTCCAGCCTCTTAGTACATAGATCTAGGGCTGCCTTGTCCCAAGTACAGAATCTGGCACTTGCTCTTGTTAAACTTCATGTGTTTGGTGATTGCCCAGCCCTCCAATTTGTCAAGATCTCTCTGCAAAGCCTCTGTACCCTTAAAGTCTCTTTACACACTGCAAAGCTCTCCCTCAAGGGATTCAACAGATCCTCCCAGTTTAATACACACAGCAGAAATTGGCAAAGATTGATTTGGCTCCCGGTGGCCCAGTGGCCACAGCTGCTTTGCTTACTGCCTGGTTCGTTGATCCTGCAGCTCACCAGCCCAGTGGTGATGTCTCATACACAGGGCTGTGCACTGATGACCATAAGCCT